AGTCTCAATCCTGATCTTTCTATTGTCTTCTTCCACAATAGCACCACCATTCTCTCAGTTGCCTAAATGAAAACACCTGGGAGTCACTGTATAATTCTTCATCTCTCTCCTCCTGCTTCATTCATTTAGTCAGTAAATATTTATCAAGTGCCTTCTATGTTGCAAGAGCTATTTTAAATATGAAGAAAACTGTTTATATATGTAGACTGTCTCAGAACAAATTTGACAAACACAAAAAACAAAACTGCCAAATCACTTGCAAGTCCTCTGGCTTCAGTCTTCTAAACACCTCTGAAATCTTCCCTACTACTTGATTTCTGCTACAATTTCCTTGGTTCAAATATGAGATGATGAGGAATTAAATTCCTGCCATTCTATCCTTTCTGAATTCTTCCTCACAACCCTCTGATCCACCTTTATACTATCACTAAAGTAAAGATGATAATGTAATTCCTCTCATGGAAACACTTCAACACCTCCATTACGTTCTGAATAAAAAAGCCAACTCTATACTGTGATATGTAAAGTCCTTTTATGATGCCTACCTATGATGTATCCTTCATCTCCACCACTCCAGTTAACCTCTAACGCACATACTTCACAGCAACCCTACTGAACTGTTACCTAACAGTCACATTTTCTCATGCTCCATGCCTTGAAGGGGTTATTTTCACTTAGAATTCCTTTTACCAAACCTTCTGCCTGGAAAACTCCTGCACATTCTTTAAGACCTGGCTCTACAAGCCTAGGTTTTCTTCTATGGCTCCAGTGTCCCTCTCCTATTACCCAATTCTGCAACTGTTTATAGTGGCTATCTCCTGTATGCTTACAAAGGATAGACAGCATATCTTCTAGTCTCTGTAATCCTAAGGTCTACTTTAACTGCTGACATGTAGTAGGTATTTCATATGTAGCCTATGAATATGAAAGAAATAATGAATGTGTCTTTAAATAGCTATCTGACCTTGAGTAAGAAATATAACCTGACACCTGGTTTCCTTGTGTATAAAACGAGAATAATTATATAATTATATCTACCTCACAGAGCTGTTCTGATAATCATGGGAGATGAGTTCCTAGCACAGTGCCTGTCACATATTAAATATTTGGTATATGTTGGCTTGCAATACTTCTTTAAATTAGAGTTTATAAGCTAGCCTAGGAGCACAGCTTTTTAATCCTTATTTCTTTGGTAACCTGAATTCTGAATTTTAAACGAACTTGGAATATAACTCCTGGCCTCAAGCAATCCTCCCATTTCAGCCTCCCAAAGCACTGGGATTGCAGGCATGAGCCACCATGCCCAGCCTAGCTATCTATAAGCTGGATCCTTCTTTACTGCAAGCAATCTTCTTCTTAGGATAATTTCCTTATACCAGCAACACAGAACATCCCATGCTCACTGTCACCTCGAGGTTTTGTTCTACTTGTCTCTCTTGCCTAGAATTTCATCTCTCCTCTCTTCCTCCTTAGCTGAATTTTGCAGATACAGAAAATCCTTAGGAAAATTTGTGTTTGTCTTTTGTTTGTTTGTTTGTTTTGTTTTGGTTTTTTTTTTGAGAGACAGAGTCTCACTCTGTCACCCAGGCTGGAGGGGACTAGTGCATTCATAGCTCACTGCAGCCTTGAACTTCTGGGCTCAAGCAATCCTCCTGCCTTAGCCTCCTGAGTAGCTGGGACTACAGGCACATACCACCACACCCAGCTAATGTTTGTATTTTTTTGTAGAGATGGAGTCTCATTATACTGCCCAGGCTAGTCTTGAACTACTAGCCTCAAGTGATTCTTCCACTTCGGCCTCCCAAAGTGCTAGGATTACAGGCATGAAGAAAATCTATTAATATTTTTATTTCCTGTTTTGCTTTAATATTGCAATCATACTGTTCTATTATTTATAGCCCTCACAGCACCTTCCATGATTATTGGTAGGCAACTGTGAAGAACTATTAGGGTTTCTTATCATATATCCTTCAGTTTTCTAGCTCCATTGCCACATTCTTTTTTTTTTTTTTTTTTTTTTTTTAATTTATTATTATTAAACTTCAAGTTGTAGGGTACATGTGCACAACGTGCAGGTTTGCTACATATGTATACTTGTGCCATGTTGGTGTGCTGCACCCATCAACTCGTCATTTACATCAGGTATAACTCCCAATGCAATCCCTCCCCCCTCCCCCCTCCCCATGATAGGCCCCGGTGTGTGATGTTCCCCTTCCCGAGTCCAAGTGATCTCATTGTTCAGTTCCCGCCTATGATTGAGAACATGCGGTGTTTGGTTTTCTGTTCTTGTGATAGTTTGCTGAGAATGATGGTTTCCAGCTGCATCCATGTCCCTACAAAGGACACAAACTCATCCTTTTTTATGGCTGCATAGTATTCCATGGTGTATATGTGCCACATTTTCTTAATCCAATCTGTCACTGATGGACATTTGGGTTGATTCCAAGTCTTTGCTATTGTGAATAGTGCTGCAATAAACATACGTGTGCATGTGTCTTTATAGCAGCATAATTTATAATCCTTTGGGTATATACCCAGTAATGGGATGGCTGGGTCATATGGTACATCTAGTTCTAGATCCTTGAGGAATCGCCATACTGTTTTCCATAATGGTTGAACTAGTTTACACTCCCACCAACAGTGTAAAAGTGTTCCTATTTCTCCACATCCTCTCCAGCACCTGTTGTTTCCTGACTTTTGAATGATCGCCATTCTAACTGGTGTGAGATGGTATCTCATTGTGGTTTTGATTTGCATTTCTCTGATGGCCAGTGATGATGAGCATTTTTTCATGTGTCTGTTGGCTGTATGAATGTCTTCTTTTGAGAAATGTCTGTTCATATCCTTTGCCCACTTTTTGATGGGGTTGTTTGTTTTTTTCTTGTAAATTTGTTTGAGTTCTTTGTAGGTTCTGGATATTAGCCCTTTGTCAGATGAGTAGATTGCAAAAATTTTCTCCCATTCTGTAGGTTGCCTGCTCACTCTGATGGTAGTTTCTTTTGCTGTGCAGAAGAACTACAAACCACTGCTCAGTGAAATAAAAGAGGACACAAACAAATGGAAGAACATACCATGCTCATGGATAGGAAGAATCAATATCGTGAAAATGGCCATACTGCCCAAGGTAATTTATAGATTCAATGCCATCCCCATCAAGCTACCAATGAGCTTCTTCACAGAATTGGAAAAAACTGCTTTAAAGTTCATATGGAACCAAAAAAGAGCCCGCATCTCCAAGACAATCCTAAGTCAAAAGAACAAAGCTGGAGGCATCACGCTACCTGACTTCAAACTATACTACAAGGCTACAGTAACCAAAACAGCATGGTACTGGTACCAAAACAGAGATATAGACCAATGGAACAGAACAGAGTCCTCAGAAATAATACCACATATCTACAGCCATCTGATCTTTGACAAACATGAGAAAAACAAGAAATGGGGAAAGAATTCCCTATTTAATAAATGGTGCTGGGAAAATTGGCTAGCCATAAGTAGAAAGCTGAAACTGGATCCTTTCCTTACTCCTTATACGAAAATTAATTCAAGATGGATTAGAGACTTAAATGTTAGACCTAATACCATAAAAATCCTAGAGGAAAACCTAGGTAGTACCATTCAGGACATAGGCATGGGCAAAGACTTCATGTCTAAAACACCAAAAGCAACGGCAGCAAAAGCCAAAATTGACAAATGGGATCTCATTAAACTAAAGAGCTTCTGCACAGCAAAAGAAACTGCCACATTCTTAAGAAATTATCTGATGTCAATCATCACTGACAATTCAACAGCTCAATTTCGTATTCAGACTCTAAACCATACACTTCAATACTAAGTTCTTAACTACCCTGGATTCTCTGCTATTGTTTCAATGGTATTTGATCATAATCATAACCAGACTGCAAGCTCTGAGGTCACTGACTTCTGGGTCCTTCAACACAAAGGACAACTCCTGAGCATAAAAGACAATAAATACTTCCAAACTGACCTCAAAAAAGAAATCAAAATCTTTTTTTTTTTTTTTTTTTTTTTTTTTGAGACAGAGTCTCACTCTGTCGCCCAGACTGGAGTGCAGTGGCGCAATCTCGGCTCACTGCAACCTCTGCCTCCTAGGTTTAAGCAATCATCCTGCCTCAGTCTCCCGAGTAGCTGGGATTACAGGCGCTTGCCACCACACCTGGCTAATTTTTCTACTTTAGTCAAGACAGGGTTTCTCCATGTTGGCCAGGCTGGTCTCGAACTCCTGATCTCAGGTGATCCGCCTGCCTTGGCCTCCCAAAGTGCTGGGATTACAGGCGTGAGCCACTGCGCCTGGCCAAAGAAACCAAATTCTAAACAAACTTATACTTTTAAGATATCGGTAGGTCACTAAGGACATTATCTGTATGCCATTCTCATCCACCTTCATTACACTTCGTATTCATATGTGGTATTTTAACTGGCCACATCTAAATCTTTTGTTTATATTCAAATATACAAACACACATATATATTTCTAAATTAAGTATTGTGCTAAAAAGAAGCTCTTTTCCTTACATTACTTAGAAAGTTTTCCCCCCAAGTCTCACAAAAACCCCATCTTTCCGTATTTAGAATTTATTTCAGAAGTATCAATGAAGATGGCAGAACATACACAATCTTGTTTCATCACCATCACAATAATGTGTTCCATCATAGGTCACTCAGCAATTTGTGTTCCATTGTCACCTGCCTTCTTTAAGTTTCAATTGGGGGTATAATTAATTATATAAAATATAATCTTGGCTTATATATAAAGACATGAAAATGATCTATTTTATATAGATTACAATCTATTTTATATAGATTGTTTAATGTTATAAAACATTAAAATTTTGATAATTTTGAAATTATATCCAAAAACATAGCAGACAGAGGAAAGAAGTGATTCTTTTAAAAACTAAAGTGTTACATTATCTATATGTGACACAGCTTTAAGTAAAACCATTTCTAAAGAAAATAGGCAAAAACTACTAAGTTACCTGTAATCATTCCGATCATCAGCTTTTACTCCAGGCCAATCTCTCTTCAGGTATTGACTAGCCAACTTCTGGATACCCTGTTAAAAAATACGTATTTTTTCTAAAATAAGTATTATGCCGTAAAGGAAGCTCTTTTCCTTAAAATACATGACTTAGAAATCTCATTTTTCCAAATGTAAATTTAATTCAGAAGTGAAAAAAAAACAATGACAGGCTGCACGTGGTGGCTCATACCTATAATTCCAGCACTTTCGGAGGCCAAGGCAGACAGATTACTTGAGGTCAAGAGTTTGAGACCAGCTTGGCCAACATGGTGAATATCTATCTCTACCAAAAATACAAAAATTAGCTGGGTGTGGTAGCATGCGCCTGTAGTCCCAGCTACTTGGGGGGCTGAGGCAGGAGAAACACTTGAATCCAGGGGCGGAGGCTGCAGTGAGCCAAGAATGTGCCGCAGCACTCCAGCCTGGGTGATAGAGCGAGGCTCTGTCTCCAAAAAGAAAACCCAATTAACAAACCAACCAACCAACCAAACAAACAAACAAAAAAACCAATGATAAATGGTAGAACACTACAACCTTCTTTCATTATTGTCCAGTCCTCTCTTGTCTCCACTTTTAGGAAAAGGGTGAGTATAAGGATGAGAAAGTTGAAACTTCATTGATATGCCTTTCACTTTTAACTATCTGACTAGCCATAAAAACAAACCACCTTTGGCATGTCACAGGGAACACAGCTGTCCATCTTCACAGAACTCTGATCACATAGCTTTCTAAATCTCAGCAGCCAAACTCTTATATACCAGGAAAGAGAAAAACAAATTCCATTTGAAGTAGACAGATATATACTGGTATGTAAAATTAATAAACAAATTTTGGTGCTGTTCCATACTATTAATTCTCAAGACAGATTTTAAGGGTCTTTTCTTTTTAAACGATACCATGACACAAGTCACTTCAAACAACAAAAAAAATTGTTTTACAAAGAAATTTGCCCACTTATTATTATCTACACAACACAAATCTGGATAAAACAGAATGTTTATCTAAAATAGGTGTCAGGGAGAGGTACAGGGATTTGAATTGAGAAGACCATTTTGTTAAGAACTGATTTTAAACTGCTCATTCCAATGATACAATGTATTATGTTTGGTTTTTTGCTTGTTTGTTTTTGTTTGTTTGAGACAGGCCTCATTCCAATGCCCAGGCTAGAGTGCAGTGGCGCGATCATGGCTCAATGCAGCCTCAACTTCCTGGGCTCAAATAATCCTTCCACCTCAGCCTCCCAAGTAGCTGGGACTACAGGCATGTGCCACTGAGCCCGGCTAATTTTTTGTATTTGTAGTAGAGACAGTATTTCGCCATGTTGCCCATGGCTCAATTCCTGGACTCAAGCAAGCCACCTGCCTTGTCCTCCCAAAGTGCTGGGATTACAAGTGTGAGTCACCAAACCTGGCCAATGCATTACTTTTGGATAGGAATATATGTGGTCCCCTAACACTGTAACAGGGCCTAATGTAATGGTTATAGAAATCATTAACATTGAGATACTTATTTCTATACACGTAACTAAAAAGAACACAATGCTGAAATGAAGAACAATCACATTTATTAATCAACTGCCTGCTCTAGGCAAAAATTACTCAAGTAAAATCAACACTACACTCTACATGGTACCTTTCTATTAAGGTCTGTTGTCAAATTAGCTTGAATCTCAAGTTCCTCCTGAACTTGGCAACAATTTGGTTTCACTATTTCTAAGTATTGTGTATTCTGAGAACTTGTATGCAACTACATATCCGTAATAGTTCCACTTAACATATCTTGTACTTTGGGAACTCCAAATACTATGTCTTCTCTGAATATGTATGGTAGTTTTTCACCTCTGCACCTTGTTCATACTGTTCCCATTGCATGAAAATATCTTCTAACCACTCCTATTCCTACTTGCTAAATTCTTACCCCTCCCTTTGAATTTGATACTTAAATTTCCTAACATAAACAATCACAAGTATATATAGGAAAATGTGAAAAGTGTCATTGCCTAAGTACTTATTTTCATTTCATTAAAGTATAATAAGCTTATTCTTTCTACATTTATTAGCTATAATTCTATAAAGAATTATCCCTCATGAACTATTTGGTTATACTGAGATAAAGTTCTTGGAGGAAAGACAGGATAAATATTTGATTGTCCAATATTTGGGTCCAAAGATGAACAACGAATTTTTAAAGTAACATTATAAACTCATGTATTTTAAATAATGGAGGCATTCCAATTAATTACAGTTGCTTTCTTCTGATGCTCAAATTGTCACATCTGTGGTCTGTCAGAGCCTCTCCAAGTTGGCTCCCATATCACGAACTCAAATAGACTTTGAATGCTTCTTTGTTGTTGTTGTTGCTGTTATTGTTGTTTTACAGTTCCTGGCCCAGACTTGCAATAAGCTAGTTCTCCAAGGAATTCTGATTGCTTTCAGAGAGAAACCAGAGACCACAATCTAGGCAAGTTCTCATTCTTTGGGTCTTACTATTTGCATCTTTCTCTAAAAGGCCTTTTCTAATCACTGTATGCAAAGTATCTTCGCCTCTGGCCCTCTCACATAACTATATTTATGCATAATCCTTACACATTGTTACTGTCTGGTTTAAATATTTGTCTGTTTACTCACTATAAACTCCATCAGGTACAAATCTTGTCTTTTTTTTAAATCATTATATCCCCAGACTATAGCAGATCACCTGGAATTTAGTTGATACCAATAAGATCCACTGATTGCATGGATAAATGCCACCTTCAGTTTCTAATGCATAGTGCCCATCTCCATTTATGTTTTTGCCACTCTGTGTCAGAAGTGTTTGAATAAAAACTTCTCTGGTTCCTAATGTTCATGTACTCAAATTTTTAAAACACTGTTTATCAGATTCCTGAGATTTAGACCAGGTGGCTTTAATATAATAAATTCCTTGGTAAAATTACAGTCAAATTTGACCATCTTCACTATTTTAAGAGAAATGTGTGTGGGTATTCCAAAGCAGTTTTTAAAAATAATAGAAGTTTATTCCATACCTAGAAAGCACTACACATTAATTTTTATGAGGGTTCAATTAAGTCAAGATCTCAGAATTAAAATGACTCATTATCTGTAGAGAAGAATAACAAGTATAGAACATAATATGCCAGGCAACACATGGGTTACTGCCAAACAAGTGGCAAAATGTGACATAAGTACCCAAATGAGGAAAAGATCATCTGGTATTTTCTCAAATCACATCTAAATGACATGAGAGTGACTTTTTCAGTTTAATCACTGTTAAAGTGTTTACAGAACACATCACACAGAACATAGAATATGACATGAGCCTCAGTTCATGAGCAGGATTAGGACAGAAGGCAGAATGACAGCACTCTAAATTTATGCAGGAACAAATGAACTTAAGCACTTTCACACGTTTATTTCTCTTAATTCTGTGTTAGGCTTTGTTATCACCACAGAGAAATTGGACATTAAAAGCATAAATACTTCAAATCATACAGTTCATAACTAGTTAAATGTGAACTAGAATCCAAAGTTACTACGTCTTTGTAAAAGAAATCATTTTAGAGTGGACTTTATCTATTTTTTTAAATTAATTCGTTAACTTTGTGATTTATAAATTACAATAGCGATTTCTAGAGCTCTAAACCACAAAACTGAACTGTATTAAACTGAATGAGCCCTTCAGAGATGAGATGAGGGATTCATAAAATAGACAGTGAGATCTCTAGATGAAAGACTTTATTCAAGTTAGTTCGCAGAGGCAGGAATCATGACTTCTGTGTACTCCATGCAGCTGTTCAAGATCTAATCTGCATGGATGCTCAGACATACTCTGGCACTATTATAGTAAAGGTCCTAAATAATATTGCATGTTTCTGAAAGCATTATATGTTTAACTGGTTTCCTCTATACATTATATTTAAAGCTACATTTGATGAATAAAAGGTTTACTTACATAGAAAACAAAATCCACTCTAATTAATTTGCTAAGGAAAATAAACCTATGTCTTGCAATGTTTTAAAGGGTTTTTAAAAAAATTTTTTTCAAATCATTTCCCAAGCCCACAGCACTACTATCTAAAATTGGTCCACTAAACATAATATTTATTTATATTTACCTGAGCATCACTGATGCATAATGCTGAGTTGATTTGCAATTCAGTTCACTCTAGAGCAGTGGCTTCCATAAAGATGTACTATCAATATGCTCTTTGAAACACGCAATAACATCCGATTCCAACTTTTTAAAAAGCCATCCGTGTCTGATGTTAGGCTTGCTTTGTTTTACCTCTCAATAACACTTGCTGTATTGCTTTAACAAGTGAAGAAACACAAAGAGAGCCACTGTTGAGTAGACATTAGGAAATGAACTGATGGCTTAACCTTTGGCCAATTTATCACAGCAAGCTGAGTAGAACAGTGCTCTATGGCTCTGGCACAGGTAATTCTGTATTCATTTCATCCCTCAGCATATAGAGAAACTAACATTTAAATTTTACTAAGGGTTTGCCATTAGATGGCTCTTTAAAAATTTTGGAAGCCATATTCTTTATATACTATACCACTTTGTCATGAAATTCCCGGCATTATGCAAATGATCTTCTAACAATGAACAAGTTCACTGCATAAGTTGGATATTTCTTAAACTAATGCAAATTATGCAATTATTACCTTTACTATATTCTCAAATCACTTTAAAAGTAATACAGAACTTCACTCCCATCCTAAAGGAAAGTTTTAAAATATTCTTCATTGTTCTGTGTGGTATATGATTATGTAAGATTTAAAAAAACAGGATATTATTTTAAATTACATAAATTGTCTTTATTTACTTTTCCATTAATTTCATGATGAAATATTAATCTCATATAATAATACCTTATACATATTAAACACTAAAGGTATCTTTTAGCCTTTTCCCATTTATAAAAATAAAGATTAATTTTATTTAAATTAAGTATATGTAAGAAATAAGATCTATTGACATTTTATTTACATTGAGACAGGGCCTTGCTCTGCCACCCAGGCTGGAAGGCA